AGTTTTTCCTTGTACTTTATACCGTTCGATTTGTTTAAGCCCTGGCAACTTATTTGGTTTAAAGAATATTATTTTTTATGACTAAGACTTTGGGGGAAATTTTAAAAACGTGATTTCGTCGATTTGTGTAATTTATGAAAATCATATGATAAAAAATCAAATGTGACATCTCGATCGACTGTTAATATTTAATATTTTTTTTTGATTAGTTTCAATATTAACGCCCGTAATTAACATGTTGAGATTTGTTAAATTGCTATTTTATCTTTATCGAAAGTTTCTACCTTTATTGCATCTATGGTTTTTTTTTTAAAAAAAACAATCGCACTTTCTAATTTTACGGCGAGTACTACCTAAGGAAGTATAGTCGGAAAATCAAAAGTACGTAGTTGCGTATGACAGGCTTTATAATCATACTCACGTGTATGATAGATAATCAATTAATTTTAAATCGATTTCCTGAATTTGTATTAAAAGTATGTACTTTGGCATAATGAATAAGTTTGTAGCTTTCGTGATTACGAAAGAAAAATCCTAAATCAAACTTTTATCTTGTACGGCTCAAAAAGCACATACCTTTCTTTAAATGGAAGATCATAGCTTTCGAATTATCGATGGTTTGGAAACTTTGTATGAGGAAGATTTAGAGTTATTTAATGATAATAGGTATGAAACTGATAGTGTAAATATATAATTTATCAATAATTATAAAATGCACCATAGGTGTTGTTGGAGTTAATAAGTTTTTTGCTAAAATTTAGGGTTAGGGTGCAACTTTAGAGCAAGATAGAGGTTAGATATAAAGGTCCAAATTTTAGTTAGCATAAGGTTTTTGGGGGCGCTGAACATTTTTACTTAATACCCCAGAGATGTGTTAGCTAGTACGTTTTTGAGATATAGCAACTATGGTGTTCAACACCTATGATGCATTTTAGTAAACCCGTAATTTATTATTATAATGAATTATAAATCAAATAATTATTTATTACAATACTGCAATAGGATTTACCTTCAGAAAATGGAGCTTTAAACATTGAAAATGACACTGCAGCAAACGCACAATACTAATAATGAAAATAAAACAATTTATTTTACAAAAGAATTAGCATGACAAGTTGTTCATCACATATTGACTCCTAAGAATATCCCGCTACAAGCTCGGAAGGTGTTGTATATGTATTTAATGTATAAGGTTGGAAAGAACCATTAATGGCATTTAAAGATGTAAGTAATACATTTTGATTTTAATAAATTTTAATTGATTTATTAAATTATTTAGATTCAATATTCGATTGATAAGCCTGCCCCTACCTTGGCGTTGAGGTTAAGCGTGAAATGCGAACTTGTCAAGGTTCAAAGGAAGACTAAGAGAATTCCGCATATCTAATTTAATTAAAGAGCGTGAATATGGCTTAAAAAATTAGTCATACAATATATACTTTTTGCATAATCGCTTTATTATCTTGTATTATCAAATTATTTGCTAATACATATACGTATATTATACAGTTTTTATTTTCGTTACCATACGCAACATACATTTTTTTATTTTCGTTACCATACGCAACATACATTTTATTATTTTCGCTACCATACGCAACTACTTTTGTTTTTCCGACTATACTCCTTTAAGTAATACCTTTTATGGACATACGTATTTGATCATTAATCATCCCATACGCAATTCTTGAATGTGTGCCAGGTTTATGGCGTAGTCAAAATTCTTTAAAGTTCTTTTAGGTTAAGTTTAGGGCTTTTATTGAGGTTAGAAGTTATGAGGGCATATAGTAAAAACTTAAGGAAAACTTTTTGTTAGCGTGCGAAGTGTAGTTTATATGCAATTTTTCAAGAAATAAGCAATTGTTGACAAAACGGCCGTTCATTTTGAATTTTCATGTTCGTGTTATGTTTCACCTGATTTTGAAATCTGATTCGTAGTTCAGACAATCTGCGCTACAAGCCTGGCATGGCACACATTCAAGAATTGCATACCGCAAATTTTCGGTAGTTGTGCTTTTAAAAATAGTGACTTTCTTGGATAACCAGTCTCGAAGTTACTTTGTCTGTCTCAATATTGAATTTAGCCGCTGTTCGATTCTTTTCATAATATGAAATAATGGTGATTTTTCCCGTGCATTTCACCGTCGCCGCGCTTTTCCTGTAATTGTAACATGATCTGTTTATTTGTTTGCTCGTAAACCCATTCAATATATTTATAATATATTTATGTAAAAAAGTTCAATCATAAACCCTTACCGATTTATTTAGCAAATAAATAACAAATAACAAAATAAACACATTTTTACTATTTTCATGCAATTACTATTTGTCCGAATCAATGATATTGTTATATGATGATCAATATTCTCTTCATAGTACTTCACATAGTACCCCAGGGGCATTATTTAATATATCTGAAAAAGACCAGGGGTACTGTATGCAGCGCTGTACGGTAACGTGTATACTTTAATATTTTCACGTAATAATGTTCACCTGTTATTTCTAAACCATGCGTATTAGGATGATTCAGAATTAGCTTATTTCGAACATAATTCGAACATAAGTGGGAGTTTAAAAAATCATGCTTTTGTGAAATTAGAAAATGAAATATGTGCATTTTTGGATATAGTGTATAAAATTTCTTAACAACAAAAATAATACCACTATACGTGGCATTTTTTATCATAAATTTTAGTTTGAAATGACCTAGGTCATTTGAAAAAAGGCAAATGGCCTTTATACTATATATAGAAAATAACTAATCAAAGAACAACAATGTTTAAGTTTCGTCCCTATGTTCAAGTTTCGTACATTTTTAATACGACCTGACTTCGGCAATAATGTATTCTATCAGCTTCACCCATTTCTGTAGATTTTGATAATATGAATACTTTATGTTCATCCAATTCCATTCCAGTAACAACCTATATCCGCAGATTTAGACAAGAAATGAAAGTCGTATGTTCGTCCTTTTCAACTTCCATTCCATTCAATTAACAATTTCTAACAATCGGCATTAACCAAAATTTAAAATTATAAATAATGCTTTATGTGCTCTGCCAATTTTTGGCAATAAATGAATGCTATACAATAACAACTTCTAACCAAACTTTGCAAATGATTGACAAGAAATGAATGTCATATTTAATCCTTTTCAACTCCAATTCCATTCCAATAACAATTTCCAACATCCGACATTATTCCGAATTTCTAATTGTAAATGGTGCCTTATGTTCTTTGCCGCTTTTTGACAATGAACGAATGCCTTATATTCATCCTTTTCAATTCCAATTCAATCAGCAGATTTTGACAAGAGACGTTTATAACAACTGATATTATCCATTACCACAAGATTTCTGATTATAAGTGATACCTTATGTTCCCTACCGATTTTTTACAATGAATATTCTTCAACTCCAATTCCATTCCGGTGTTGTTCCACAGAATTTCAGATAGTAAATGATCCTTGACGTTGTCTTCTGATTTTTGGTGATTAATGAAGACTTACGTGACTTACGCTCATCCTTTTCAATCCCAATTCCTTTAAGATAACTTACAACCATCAAGCTACTCATCTCTACAGATTTCTCTGCCGATTTTTGACAATGAAGGAATGTCATATGCTCGTCCTTTTCAACGCATTTCCATTCTGGTGAATTAATTGTCAGTGAACATCTGTCGGTGAAGTATCCGATTTAGCATCGTAGATTGTTGCTTATCGCTCTCCCGAACCTTGTCGTATATAATTTTTATGCATGCACATGCACATTCATGTGTTATACCGTGAAAATCTCCTGGTACGTGATAACTATGATTAGGTTATCCAATTAAATGTAAAATTTTCATAATACGCCATGCGCGCGTACGTACGTATGCATGCATGCACATAGATTGAACAACGTTGGACAGTGTAACGATGTTAAAACAATAAATACGTAATTATGACTGTACTGCACTTAGGGATCCACAACTGACTATTCTCCAAGAATGAGCAAAAATTATGACTTTTTTTTAAGAAGTATGATAAGTTCGTGCAATTTACTATTTATATCTGAATTATATTAACTATATTAAAACGTTTTATTTTTAGTTGGTGTGGATGGTGAACGAGATGTTGGTAAATCTTGGCTTATTGAAAAATTTGCCGGAAATGATTTTGAAAATGGAGAATACGAAGAAAATTTGCATGTATATGTAACAACCACGTACATTCATTTGGATAATTGCACCGTTAAAGTAGAATTTTTAGAGACAGGTATTTAATCTTATATGTATATTGATATTTATAGCGGATTGAATATATATATCGATATCAGATGTCCAAATCATTATACAGATATTTGATTCACTATACATTTATATTATTGTGTCAATTTTTTTGCCTTCGTACAATAAACCAATTTTATGGCACATAGTAATTTGGATATGCATATATTTGAAATACAAACTAATGCAAAATTCATTAATACACACATTAATACGTAAAATACCACTACGTTGTCCACTAGAAAGTCTAAAAAAAAAAAAACATTAATTCGGTACAAAACCTAACGTTAATAATTATTTATTTGATAACCTTTTTATTCTCATTTTTGTAGGATGGAACATGAGACCAAATATAAAGTGAGTTACTATAATTCTAATGCATGTATTTTTTTTTGTATAACGATAAATTTTATTTATCTTGTATTTATAGTTATTATAGTTATATTGACGGTGCTATGCTTGTTTATGATATTTCCGATGGATTAAAGAAAATAGAAGAACTTTCACGTGAATATACCAACACCGATAGTAACTATGTAACTGACAAAATTCCTATTATGATTATTGCAAACAAATGGGACGAAAATGAGCATAAAAATGAGGATGATCTTTTAAAAGAGATCAAAAATTCTGTTGGTAATGTAATGTAATTAATTAATATTGTGTTAATAATAATAATAATAATTAATTAATACTTGCATAAATTAAACATTTCAGGAGAGGAATTTTTATGCAATATAACGTCAACTGAAGAAAAAATTAGTAAAATTAGTTCTAGTTTCGAAGAAATCCTAAAAAGTATTTTATACTATTAGTTCAAGAATAATAATTCTGGCTATTAATTAATTTATATGTTTTATTAATTTAGAATGCAAATCTAGGCTTTTGGATTTTAGAGGTAAATTTTGAAAAATAAAGTGCTTTTTTTTTGTATAGGTTGGTCAATATTTATATATACTGTATATAAATTGTAATTTAGAAGTCAATGATCTACATATATTAACTTCTCCAAGTAACCAATTTAACCTCATGATGAAACGTGCAACACAATTATATGGGATCCCAAAGAAAGTTATTGACGATAGGCGAAAACAACTAGAAATACTGAATGAAGAAATGGATGGAGTAAAATCATTTTTGTCACTAGTATGAGTATACAAATTTAAAACTTATTTACATTGTTATAATTGTATAAATAACATTCTTTTATTAATTACATGAATTACTAGAAAGTGAGTATAAATTCAGCATTATTAACATAATTGGAGATTTCTTGATCTAATAAAACAATACACTAATTATTTGCGTTTATAAATTGTCAGAGGGTGAGCATAAACTATCAAAATTTATTAAATCAGCGATTATAATCAAATTAATAAATACTTCGATTAATGAAATTTAAGCGCGTGAGTATAATTCAAATAATGCACATATAATAAATACGGTATAATAAATCAAAAATTCTCTAATTAATTTTATAGGATGTAGGCATAAATTTCAACAATATTTTTTTATTAAATCAGAATTCCTTGTAAACTATTGTATAATAATACTCTGATCTATTAAGTTGGTTAGCTCAATAATATTTATTTATTAAATTATAATTTTATAATGAATTAATCAATACTCCAATCGATTACATAAATTACAGAACGTGAGTATAAATTTCAATAATATTTATTTATTAAATTATAATCTTATAATGAATTAATCAATACTCCAATCGATTATAGAGAGTGAGTATAAATTTCAATAATATTTATTGATTAAATTATAATTTTATAATGAATTAATCAATACTCCAATTGATTACATAAATTACAGGGCGTGAGTATAAATTTCAATAATATTTATTTATTAAATATAATTTTATAATGAATTAATCAATACTCCAATCGATTACATAAATTACAGTTTGTGAGTATAAATTTCAATAATATTTATTGATTAAATTATAATTTTATAATGAATTAATCAATACTCCAATCGATTACATAAATTACAGGGCGTGAGTATAAATTTC